TTCACCCCGGTGGACGAATGTCTAGCCACAATCCGCATCAAAGCTAGATTCTTCAACATCTCGCTCATCTGCGCCCATGCCCCGACGGAAGAGAAAGATGAGGCGTCCAAGGATCTCTTCTATGAGCGCTTGGAACGTACATATGAGCGCTGCCCCCGACACGATGTCAAAATCTTGCTTGGCGATTTTAAAGCCAAGGTTGGCAAGGAAGGGATCTTTGGCGCCACTGTCGGAAAATTCAGCCTCCACGACGAAACATCCGATAACGGACTGAGGCTGATCGACTTCGCCGGGGCCCGAAACATGGTAATATGTAGTACTAGGTTCCAGCATAAGAATATCCACCAAGCTACATGGCTGTCTCCAGATCGAAAAACGAGAAACCAAATCGATCATGTTGTGATAGAAGGAAGCAATGATTCAAGCGTTTTAGACGTACGTACACTCCGGGGGCCAAACATCGACTCGGACCACTAACTTGTTGTAGCCAAGATACGCACCCGCCTCTGTGCAGCAAAAAATGTGCGCCCAAAAATGCAAGGAAATCTCAACGTCGAAAAGCTGCAATCACAACAGACGGCAAACTCATTCGCCACTTGACTCACACACCTGCTCTCTGAGAGCACTCTTCAACAATCCGACATACGCGAGCAGTGGAACCACATTTCCCGATCATTAAGTACCGCCGCCGAAGAAGTAGTTGGATTTCAGCGAGCCCGAAAGAACAACTGGTACGATGAGGAATGGCAAGAAGCCGCAGAGAAAAAAGTTGCCGCCTACAGGGCCACGCTGCGATCGGGCGCAACGCGAGCCATGTGGGACCGTTATAGGGAACTGAAGAAGGAAGCGAGACGTATTTGCCGCAATAAGAAGAGAGAGGCCGAAATACGTGTGTGCGAAGAGCTTGAGATGCTGGCCGACAGGAAGAACGCCCGAAAATTCTACCAGAGGGTTAGGCGACTTACGGAAGGTTTCAAGACCGGGGCGAACTCCTGTAAGAACAACAATGGCGACCTAGTGACCGATGTCCAGAATATACATAAATTGTGGAGGGAACACTTTTACAACCTACTGAATGGCAGCAGCGCTGAAAGTAGTGAAGAAGACGAACCCGAGTCCCCAGTCGATGATGATGGAGTAGCTGTGCCACCGCCTGACTACGACGAGGTACGAATAGCGATTACGCGGCTGAAAAACAACAAAGCTGCTGGAGCTGACAGCCTCCCAGCCGAGCTATTCAAGTACGGCGCCGAGAAGCTGATGGGGTGCATGGATCAGCTCATATGCAGAATATGGTCAGATGAACGCACGCCCGACGACTGGAATTTAAGTGTGCTCTGCCCAATCCACAAGAAAGGCGACCCCGCCATACGCGCCAACTACCGCGGAATCAGCCTTCTAAGCATAGGTTATAAGGTCTTATCGAGTGTATTGTGCGAAAGACTGAAGCCCACCGTCAACGAGCTGATTGGACCTTATCAGTGTGGCTTTAGGCCTGGAAAATCCACCATAGATCAAGTATTCACAATACGCCAAATCTTGGAAAAGACCCGCGAGAATAGGATCGACACACACCATCTATTGGTCGATTTCAAAGCCGCTTTCGACAGCACGAAGAGAAGTTGCCTTTATGCCGCGATGTCTGAATTTGGTATCCCCGCGAAACTAATACGGCTGTGTAAAATGACGTTGAGCAATACCACCAGCTCCGTCAGAATAGGGAAGGACCTCTCCGAGCCGTTTGATACCAAACGAGGTTTCAGACAAGAGGAATCCCTTTCGTGTGATTTCTTTAATCTGATGTTGGAGAAGATAATAAGAGCCGCAGAACTGAACCGCTCAGACACAATACTTTACAAGAGCGTACAATTGCTGGCGTATGCCGACGACATCGATATTATCGGTAAAAACAAGGGCTACGTCTGTCCTGCCTTCTCGGGATTGGATAGAGAAGCAAAGCGAATGGATCTGGTGGTGAACGAGGACAAAACGAAGTATCTCCTGTCATCACACAAACAGTCAGAGCATACGCGTCTTTGCACCCACGTCACTGTTGACAGTTACAAGTTTGAAAAAGTAGATGACTTCGTTTATTTGGGAACCAGCATTAACACCAATAATAATGTCAGCCTTGAAATCCAACGGAGAATCACTCTTGCCAACAAGTGCTACTTTGGGCTGAGTAGGCAATTGAGAAGTAAAGTCCTCTCTCGTCGTACAAAGATCACACTCTATAAGTCACTCATCATGCCTGTGCTGGTGTATAGCGCGGAGGCATGGACAATGAAAGCATCTGATGAGGCGGCTCTTGGAGTTTTCGAGAGAAAAATTCTGCGAAAGATTTACGGACTTTTACGCGTTGGTGATGGTGAATATCGCAGACGATTTAACGATGAGCTGTATGAGCTTTACAAGGATATAGACATAGTGCAGCGAATTAAAATTCAGCGGCTCCACTGGCTTGACCATGTCGTTCGAATGGACAGAAACGCTCCTGCTCTGAAAATATTCAACGCGGGCCGCGATGCTGGTAACAGAGGAAGAGGAAGGCCTCCTCTGCGTTGGAAAGACCATGTGGAGAAGGACTTGGCTTCACTTGGCATTTCCAATTGGCATCAGTTAGCACAGAAGATAAATGACTGACGTGCTGTTTTGGACTCGGCCAAAATCGCTTAGGCGGTTACAGCGCCAATAAAGAAGAAGAAGAAGAAGTAACGAAAACTGTGTAACTCTAATTTTCTCAATTTTCAAAATTTTCGGTTTATTGCGAATAGTTTTTGAAGCATTTCCTTCTAAAAACTGTTTAAGTATGCATTGTATTCTACAAACAATTACGAATAGTTTTGCTACCTTAACAAGAGGTGTGATTTCAGAATAAACCATCTTGATCTTGATCGTAATTTTTATTCCAAAAACATCTTAATTAAAGGCACATTTGAAAAACACGTCGAAACGATCTAAATATTTTTATAGCTACTAGTCCTTATAACGTTACATATAAAAAAAATAAAGTAAAAAAATAAATAAATAAATATACATACCTGTAAAATGCTTCAAAAAATGTCTTTAGAAGTGTGTAAAAACCCCGATTTACTACTTTTAATGATGCTCCTTCTTGTAGTCAGAATATTTCGAGCGTGGTATCAAATCAACTTTTTTCGACAAAGGTTCTGATAGTCGTTCCATCGAACCTTCTAAATTCAATGACGTCCCCAGTTTTGCCCGATTGACTTCACTTTTCGAGATAGCGGTACTTACAAATTTGCTCAAATTTTAACTATTTTCTAAAAAAAAATCTCCCTAATTTTTGAATTTATTTTACTAAAATTTTGCACACAGTTGTATTTTTATATTACCTTTAATATCTCTTAAAATCATCGAAATCGGTTCACTATAACATCTAGCTCCCATACAACTGATTGTTCAGAGACGTTGGTTTGCGTTATAACTATTAAGCAGGTAAAAATTTAGTATAGGTTCAAATTAACATATATCACGCATACAATTTATTATTCCGGTATGAAATTAGAGCTATAGGGTAAAAACACATATCTGAGTAATCAGTTGTATTGGAGCTATATGTTAAAGTGAACCTATTTCGATAATTTTAAGGGATAATGAAGTTAATATTAAAAATCGTTATGTGTAAAATTTTAGTAAAATAAATTCAAAACTGAGGAAGTTATTTATAAAATAGATAAAATTTAGTCAAAGTTTCAAGTACCGTTTTCTCGAAAACCGGAGCCAATCTGGTGAAACGGGAGATGCCCTTGAATTTCGAGCGTCCCAAGTAAGTGAATAATTTACAACTTCCACATCGTAATTTGAACCCAGCTTATTTTTTTTGGTTTTCTATTGCAGCGATCTAATTGTTTATTCCTCATCCAACTTTGAAGCACTTGATGAAAATGAATTACACTTATATTTATCGATTTATTACGATATTACGAATAGAATCATATATAAAACATAAGTGTTCCCACAAATTTAAAAAATTAAACTTTTTGTTTTGAAAGTGTTCCTGTTTTTTAGATTTGCTCACATGCATGCATGCTATAAATAGTACATAAATATATCATTTGAAGCAAGTAAATGAGTATACATATCTGTTAGACTTTTAATAATATCGCTAGCTAAGAGTGAAAATGCGCTAAGTCCACTCTTAATGCATTTATATTTTAATTTCATGGGATCACTTAATATAAAACAATTAGGTGCTTAACTCTTCCAATGGCAAATCGTTCTAATGCGAGCAATGGAGCTAAGCCGTAGTCTATTCGATAACCTGATGTACATAAATGTATATCATGAGTTCACGTGTGCAAAAACTTGCAAAGTAAAAGGTATGTTGACTCAAAGTGAAAGTTCACCTGGGGTGAAGTTGCAAATTAACCAATTTTTAATACCCAGAACAGCTGATCAAATGCTCGGTTTGAAATTTACGGTAATACATAATTAAGTTGTTGATAGAGCTCAACATTTTTTAGTGAATAAGTAATTTGCACACGTTTGCTTAGATAATTACTTTCGACGATTATTTAATTGACACTCCTCTTATATTTTAATGTTTTTGGCTGCAAACGAAATTCCGATCAGCTGGGCCTTACACTTGAAAGGTTTTGTAAATTTTGGGCTCGCATACTCTTTCCCTTGATAGTTTTCATTAAACCATTTTTATTGAGCTTGAGGCCGGTTTATGTGAAAAATTTGTTGCGGGAAAACAACAGTGATATTTTACTATTTGAGAAATAATCGTACGTTACCATCCTGCAAGTTTCTTATGGATAATTATCACGGGAGATGTTATTAAACAGTTTTAAAAGTTATTTAGACTTTAAATATATTCACATAATAAAAATTTTGAACTCTTCCGGTTCCAAACAATTTCACAAAATGAATCTGATACCTTTTCACCTTTAGTTAGCGGTATGCCTAAATTCTCAATGCAAGCTATGACTTGTAAAATATTTGCCTCATTTGGAGTTTTAACAATTTTCCAGCTCGAAACTTATTAGACCCTTCTTGAGACTAGCCAGAAGCTGCGCATCTGTCTTGTGCTGCCGTTCGACTCCTCTTCAGAAAGCTTATCTGGTAAAAGTGGTGAAAGAAGAGTTGCGTCTCTGTACTTTAGCTATCGGTGACGGCGCCAACGATGTCTCAATGATACAGGTGTTTGATATGAGGCTAACCACTTTAAACTGTACTAATTGGAGTCTTTATGTAGATGGCTGATGTTGGCGTTGGTATCTCCGGCCAAGAAGGTATGCAAGCAGTAATGGCAGCTGATTTCACATTATCACGTTTTCGTTATTTGGAGCCCTTATTGTTAACGCATGGATACTGGTGTTACGATCGCTTATCGCGCATGATTCTTTATTTCTTTTACAAAAATGCCGTAAGTATTTTATAGCTGCTAGCAACCATCATTATTTATTGTTCTTAGCTTAAATTATCTTCCAATATTTGAAGGCCTTTGTGTTCCTAATATTCTGGTATCAACTCTACTGCGGATTTTCTGGTTCTGTTATGATAGATCAGATGTATCTGATGCTCTATAATTTAATATTTACATCGTTACCTCCCCTTGCCATCGGCGTGTATGATAAGCGCGTGCCCGAGGATTTTTTATTACGAAATTGTTTTTTGTACAAGCATGTAAGTTCTTCATTAATATTTATGTTCATGCAATTATTCTTCTTGATACCATTTAATTTTGTACTAATTTCTAAAGGGTCGACTGGGTCTCGCTTATAAACCTCATGACTTCTGGATAATACTCCTAGATGCCCTTTACCAAAGTTTAGTAGTATTTTTTATGGCTTTGTGTTCATATGCTGACTCGGATGTTGGTATTTGGGAGTTCGGAGCGACGATTACAGCTTCCTGTTTATATACGAATTTAGTTCACGGTGCACTAGAAATAAGATCATGGGTATGTAGCGGCAGTGAAAGAAATTAAATATTTTCGAAATACGCATGCACACTTTCGATTGCAGACAATATTACACGCGCTCTCTATTATCATAAGTCTTGGTTCATTTTATGCCTTCTCTATTATTTATAACGCAAAGTGTGTTAACTGTTTTGGACTACCGTCTACTTATTGGGTGATATTTCGCTGTTTCGGGTCTGCAGTGCATTGGCTCGTGATACTCATATCGACCTTGGTGGCCGTTTTACCGCGGTAAGTTTAGCATGCCGTTATTAATTGATAGTGTTAAACCTCATACTTTATATTTTGTATACGCTTTCTTTGCAGACTCCTGTTTATAACCATTAAAAATGCATTATTTCCTGCTGATAGTGTAAAGATTTTGCTACAAAGACAGAAAGACCGTAGTAGAGGTGATGCTTTGTTAGTTGCTTGGTCAAGGTCAACATCAGCTTCATCAATTTTTAGGTAAAGAACACACAACACGTGCTATTTACCAATATGTACCTGCTTACTTGCACCATTCATGCCATGAAATGCGGCTTGTCTGTTTCATTGGTACGTTCGCCGTACAATGTTTGTACCGTCTCAATAATTAAAAATATCACTTTATTCAAGAATCAAAAAGGGATCATACAGAAACTGCAAATGCCATATACATACAACACATTGGTGTGTACTACTTTTTCAAATTAACGATCTCAGTGGAAAAGTTTATGTCTGGGAATGCAAAAAGTAACGTAGGTTATAGGGGCTAACCTACGTACGAAAAGATGCAAGAATTTCTCCTCAGCGATGTCATACGAAAGTAATGTGTCGCATTTCGCTTAACGAAACTATGAATAGAAGCTATATATAGAATTTAAAAAAATAATAATAATTATAAAAATAAAAAATAAAGTCCGAGCCACAGGTTTTGAACCCGTGATCAACAACACACGACAGTCGAACGCGCATCCATTCGGCTACAGCAGATGTTGCGATAACATGAAACAAAAACATACTTGAGTTAGTTTTCAAACTTTTTGCTTTGTTTGTGGGAATTGCATTCCCATTTTCCCACTGGGACATTACTATATTTCCACATTAATATTAAGAAATTGTAGAAATAAATCTATTAACCAGGGACGTGAACCGGATGAAAAATTTGGTCGGTTCGGTTCAGCGGTTCGAACCGTTGTTGCACTTTTGGATTGGTTCGTCAAAGCGGGTTTTTGGTCTTTGAACCGGGATTTCGGTTCGGTTGAACGGTTCGAAAAACCAAAAAATAACGCGCAAATTTAAGTGTCAATTGTAAAGTGCAGCAACGCGTAAGGTTAAGGATCAAGTGAGATGGGCTGCCTTTACATTTGATATTGTCACGTGGTAAAAAAACATGGTAGGTGTTACCATGTTTAACAAAACGAAAAAAGTGGTACATTTATCTATTGAAAATTGGTTGAAACGAACCTTTAAACCTTTAAAGAAAGTGGTTCGGTTTTCGGTTCGGATCAAACATTTGTGGAAAATTTCGGTTCGGTTAGTGGTTCAGTTAATTAATAGAAAAAAGCGGTTTTCCGGTTCAAAACCGGTTCACGTCCCTGCTATTAACTAGACTTAAAAAAAACAGTTAATTTGAACATTTCAATTCAAGAAGTAAGACGGAAGAATGTTGTTGTTGCGCAATACTCTGGAATGGATGGTACATATCTTTTGATCGTATATGTACTGTGTAGGTATAGGTTAGGTTGATGTGGCAGTCGGTTCGAATTACCAACTCACTTAGACCTTTTTGAAGGTCCATTGTGATACCACTGCAGAACACGGGAACCTCTGTGACTAATCTTCAGAGAACCATTTCGAAGCTCTTATAAAGCGTAGGATTGGCTTTATTCCTACGCATGATAATTCCGTAAGAGAGCTAAAGAAGGGCCTACCTAAAAAGCCTGCTCTCCTCCTGGCCAGAGCTGGGCAGCTACAGAAGAAGTGCTCTACGGTTTCTTCCTCTTCCTCATCCCTGCAACTTCTACAATATTCGTGGGAGAATATTCCTAGTCTCGAAGAGTGCCTGCCAAATAGCCAATGACCGGTAACACAAGCCATGACCCTTGCAATATCCTCTCTTGAGAGGCTGAGCAACTCTTTCGTCTTTTTCTTATCTATTTGTGGCCAAAGTAGCCTAGTTGTTCTACAAGTGCCCTCCTCTAGCCATGACCTGTTTGCCTCTTGGATCATGCTGTTTCGAAGTTCTCGTTTGCAGGTTACCATGGGTATCCCTATTGTGCCTCTGTTTTCACATAGGGGGAGACTGGTACCCTTTCTGGCAAGCTCATCGGCCCTGCAATTTCATTCAATATCTCGTATGTCCCGGAACCCAAATTAGGCTGACCTTAAAAACGGCGCTGATATCGTTTAGAGCTGCTAGACATTCCTGCGCAACCTTCGATCTCAGTATTACCATGTTCATTGATTTAATGGCCGCCTGGCTGTCCGAGAAAATATTAATCGTAGTCCTCGTTACGACATGCGTACTAAGGTACACAGCCACCTCCTTTATAGCTAAAACCTCTGCCTGATAAACACTGCAGTGGTCCGGAATTCGTACGGATAATTCTAGTCCTAGTTCCTTGGAGAAAACTCCGTAGCCAACCCTATTGTCTAGCTTGGATCCATCCGTATAAAAATTCAGTTCCCACCTTCTCCATGGTCTTGGTGTTTGCCATTCTCTTCTTGACGGGATGCTCGTCTTGAAGAGCCTATCGAAGGTTGGTTTAGGGGCGGAGTAGTCCACTTCTTGTTCATGACTACCCAGAGTGTGAAGTATAGAGGCGTGACCGAACCGCCGATCCTTCCATAGCACCATGCTTTTTAGTCTGAGCGCTGAATCGGCGGCCGCGTATTTTCCCACCAGGTTTAATGCGGGCAGATTGGTTACCACCTCTAGCGCTTTGTTTGAAATGCATAAAAACGCTGTTCTTTGGACTTTACTCAATAGTTTTAGGAAACTTGACTTTTGAGTTGCTGGCCACCATACGAGTATTCCATATAATAATATTGGCCTGACCACCGAGGTGTAAAGCCAATGTGTAATACGAGGTGTTAGCCCCCACTTGATTCCGACCGCTTGTTTGCAAGTATGTAGTGCAACGTTGGCCTTCCTTACTCTTTCCTCTATATTCGGTTTCCACGAAAGTTTCCTGTCTAATATGAGTCCTAGATACTTAACATTCTCCTTCAAAGATATCTCCACACCCATAAAGATTAGCGGTGAGACTTGTAAAGAGAATTGCTTCAGTTTTTTCGGGGTTTATTCCGAGCCCCCTACTCTCTGTCCAATTTCTAAGCGTGGCCATGTTAGAGCGCAAAATCTCCATTAGGGTATTAGGGTATTTACCTTTAACGGCAATTGCCAGATCGTCAGCATATGCAGTGACGTGGCAGCCCCCCCTCTCTAGTTTCTTCAGCAGAGATTTTACTGCCAAATTCCAGAGAAGAGGGGAGAGAACCCCTCCCTGAGGAGTGCCTCTACAGACCTCTCTGCTTATTGTGGTGTTGCCAAGCTTAGCGGTTATCTTCCTGCTGACAAGTATAGACTCAATCAGCGCCGCTACGTTGTGGTCAACTCCAAGCTCTTCTAAGGCACCCGTTATGGCGCTTGCTTTAATGTTGTTGAAGGCGCCTTCTATATCAACAAAGGCAACCAGAGTATACTCTTTATCAGATAAACTTTTTTCCACCAACCCGACGAGCGAGTGCAAGGCGGTTTCCGTAGATTTGCCCTTCGTATAGGCATGCTGCGCTGGGGAGAGCCTACTAGTTGGTATCACGCCCCGTACATAATCGTCCACTATCCTCTCTAAAATTTTGAGCAAAAAAGACGTAAGACTGATGGGTCTGAAGTCCTTGGGGTTGATGTGATAGGACCTACCTGCCTTGGGTATGAAAGAGACTTTTGTCTCTCTCCAGCATAGCGGAATATAGCCCATGTTAAGACAGCTTCTTATAATAGACGCAATGAATGGGGAGATATAACTCCGTGATTGCTGCAGTTCTACCGGGTGTATGCCGTCCAGTCCCGGTGACTTGTAAGGACCAAAAGTCTTAATAGCCCATTCGATTTTCGCCTTAGTAATCAGTCGATTTCCTAGATCAGATAGCCCCCCGTCATTTATGGGGTCGTTAAGTTCCATCGACTTGCTTCCAGGGAAGTGTGTGTCCAGGAGGAGACCTAAAGATTCCACGCTCGTCGTAGTCCATGAGTACCCTTGACCCTTGAGATAGCCAAGGTTGCATGGCGACTTTACAAGAATTTTTCTTAATCTGGCCGCTTCCGTGGTTTCCTCAATTCCCTTGCAATAACTCTGCCATGATTTACGTTTCGCAGTTCTAACTGCTTTTTTGTATATTTTCAAGTCAGCCTTATAGGCTTCCCAGTCCTCTGTTGTTCTCGTGGCTTTGGCCTTATTGAACATTGTCCTATTTGATTCACGTTACGAGGATAACTGTTTTGACCACCAAGGTGGTTTGTTTTCCCCTCTGTATCTAACAACCGGGCATCCGGCTGACAAAGAACTATTCATGGCTTTAGTGACCTGATTAACCAACCCGTCCAATTCCACCCGCGTGGCGGGGTCCCGGGGAGGTATCTTTGGCAATAAAGTCCTCAGTTTTTTATTGTAAACCCTCCAGTCGGTATTACGCACATTTCTGAACTCCCTAACTTGGGGGGTCTTAAGATCTATTTCGAATTGAATATAACAATGGTCCGAGTAAGACTTTTCACTAATTACTCTCCATCTCTTGATTTTGTGGACAAACGAGTCCGAAGTCAGGGTTATGTCCAAAACTTCCTCTCTACTCTTTGTTATAAAGGTCAGCTCTGAGCCTAAATTCAAGACACTAAGTTTTTTTCCTAGAATGAAATCTAGTAACGACTCACCTCTAGCGTTCGTGTCCGTACTCCCCCACATCGAATTGTGAGCATTAGCGTCACAGAAGACAACCAGTTGTTTTTTCTTATAGGTTGCTTCCTTGACTAACGTCTGAACCTCCTGTGGTGGTGCGTCCTTGTCATGGGCCATGTAGGCAGAGGCTACCCAGAAGCTGGTTTTATCCAGTTCTATGCTTGCCGCTACCAAATCGCCGTCACTGAGCTGTGGAAGCAGGAAGATGTTTAAGTTGTTCCTTGCTAATATGCAAGCTCGAGTCTTATCTGCATTTTGTGCGGAAATTAGCTTAAAGCCCTTCACCCCAAGCCCGCAGATTTTGTTGCCGAGTATCCACGGCTCCTGGATGAGGGCAACGTCAAGTCCACCGGCAGCCAGGCGGACCTCAAGATTTGCGGACGCGAGTTTAGAATGGTGGAGGTTGATCTGGATCAGATTCATAAGAATCCGTCCGTTTTACCTCCACCATTGTGACATCTACGTCCGCCTCCTCGATCTCCTCACCCTCGGTGTCATCGGCGAGGAGATCCTGTTCATAAAACA